TATGAGGTAGGGATAAGGGTTTGGAAAGCAACACACGTAGCCGGACCAAGGTGCGGAGTGAGATTTTCTAGATGCCGGACCAAGGATTTAGAAATACATAGCTTATCACTTTGCATACAAGATACTAGGAAAGAATTGTTATAGCTAGAATTATCAAGTTATGAACCTGTGGGGAACACGTAAACCCTAGTTACTTTGATTACTTGATTAAAACTCAACATTAAAAGCTGTTAAGTGTCTCTGTCAAGTTCATTAGTTATATTTTTTATTTTATTAGGAAGTACAAAACCCCCCTTTTATGCTTTTACTTTTTAAGGAAGTCATCAACCGAACAATAGTAATAACAAGTTGGAGTTAAGTGTAGACTATTTTCCTTGTGGGAACGATCCCAACCTCACTAGTTGGGTTATTTACTTGACGCGACCCCTTTACTTCTCATTTGAGAAGTAAGTTTGAGCGTATCACTTCCAAAAATGAAAAGTGGACTGGTCACCTCTATCCGAAATAATGGACAAAGGGATACCATGCAAACTCACAATCTCGTCAAGGTACAACCTTACATACTCTTCTTACAAATAAGTAGAATTAATGAAATAAAGTGAGCAGATTTCGTTAACCTATCCACAATAACCCATATTGAGTCATTTTGCCTACGTGTCTGAGGCAAACCCACTACGAAGACCAAAAGTCTTCCCCCTTCCAAGTAGGAACATTCATTACTTGGGTCAAACCACTTGGCTTTTGATGCTCCGCCTTTACTTGTTTACAGTTTGGGCATCTAGCCACAAATTCCGCTATGTCCGTATTCAAACCTTCCCCCTAATAGACTTATTGAAGATCACGATACATTTTTGTGGCACCAGGATGAATAGAATATCGAGACCCATGAGATTTTTCTAAACTTTTACCCCTCAAGTTATCAACCTCCGGTACGCACAATCTACCTTGGTAACTAAGTACACCATCCCCCCTTGAAAGAATGACTCATTAAACTTTCCAAGGACCACTCCTTCAACTCTATCAATGAAAGGTCAAGGTTTTGTTTAGGCTTCACCTAAACCACTAAGGACGATTCGGAGTTTTGGTGGACCATAAACCTATAATTTTGAGAATATTCCAACCGAACACCCAACTGACCCAACCTATTGACATCATTCACTGTGTCTTTATTGCCTTTTTCTACATGAGATACACTACCCATGGTCATACGGCTTAGAGCATCCGCAACCACATTGGCCTTGATGGGGTTGTAAAGAACACTTATGTCGTAATCCTTCAATAATTCAAACCATATTATTTTTCGGAGATTCAACTCCTTTTGAGTGAACACATATTGAAGAGTTCTTCTCATGCACCTTAAGTTGTCTAGAAGCATAAGCTTCTAGCTTTCCCTGTTACATAAGGACACAACCCAAACCTACTCGAGAAGAGTCACAATATACCACAAAACACTTGGTACGTTCCAATAAAGTAAACACCGAATAGGAGGTAAGACTCAACCTATAAAATTTAACACTCTTTTGGGTCAAGGTAGTCAAAGAAGGCAATGGACGCAAACCCATCCACAAACCTCCTACAATACCCAGATAAACACAAGAAAATTCTAATGTCAGATGGATTCAAATGTGTAGGACAATTCATAACCGCCTTCGTCTTTCTTAGATTGGCTATTTAACCTCACTTGAGATAATATGACAAACGAATGCAACTAATCTTAACCAAAACTCAAACTTACTATACTTGGCAAATATTTAGTGTTCCTTAAGGACTTGCAATACTACCGCCAAATGATCCATATGTTCATCTTCACTTTTGGAGTACACCAAAATATCATTAATAAAACCAATCACAAAAAAGTCAAGGTAATCTCAGAACACCCTATTCATTAGGTATATAAAAGCTGCCGGGGCACGGGTTTGACTAAAATACATGACTAGGAACTCATAATGACCATACCTAGTTTGTAAAGCCATTTTATGTATGTATTATCCTCTCACCCAAAGTTGGTGATAACCCAACCACCAGTCAGTCTTAGAAAATTAGTTTTACCCTTGTAATTGATCAAACAAATCATCGTCGATCCTAGGGAGAAAAAAACATAATTTTTTATAGTAACCTTGTTTTGTTGACGATAGTCGATGCACATCCTAAGAGACCCGTCATTCTTATTTATAAACAACAACGGAGCACCGCAAGGAGAAATACTAGGTCTAATGATACTTGAGTTAAAGCTTAAGTTTTTGCAACTTGGCCGGAGCCATCCGATAAGGAGGGATTGAAATAACTTTCATATTCAGCAACAAGTCTATGCCAAAGTGTATTTCCCGTTAGGATGGAACTTCGGGCAAGTCATCAACAGAAAGACTTCTAGAAAATCCGTCACTAAAGGTACCGACTCTAATAGAGGAACTTCGGATTCAAGGTCCTTGACCTTAAAAAATAATGGAGACACCTTTTAGAGATCATTTTATAAGCTTTAGACACAAAATAATTTGACCTGTAGGGATTGAGCTGCCCTCCTTCCATTCTAAGACGGGTTCACTTGGGAATTGGAAATTGAATACCCTTGTTCTACAATCTATGGACGCAAAACAAGCATGCAACCAATCCATCCCCAATATGACATTGAAGTCAACCATATCAAGTTCTATCAAGTCAAACCGAAGTAACTCTATTGGGAAATGATATTGTACAACTCCTAAAGACTCTTCGAGCCACCGGGGAGCCACCCACTGGGGTTGTAACCGAAAAAGTTCCCATCAGAACATCGGGTAATATATTGAACTTTCTAGACAATAGAGGGGTTACAAATTATACGGTAGAACCGGGATCTAGTAAATCATATATATTATTAATGTAACATATCAGGTATGACATCGGGAGACTCCTCTTTATTACCCCTAGAGCGGAGAGAATAGAAGCAATTATTTTTAGGAGCATCGGGATTAGGAGAACTTGCTTGTGCTTCAGAATTTTCACTCCCTTGAGCCTTCATAGAAAGACAATCCTATTCATGTGACCACTCTTTCCATAACCATAGAAATTTCCCGTACCAACTAGACATTTGCCTTCATGTTTTCTACCACATTTAGCACAACTAGACTTTTCAACATAAAGACCACTAACTTTCTTATCTTTAGCCTTGGGTGTAGACCCTTTACCTTGGTTGATACTTGGAAAGGTAGAACGTCTTTGATTGGGGAACCTCTTCTTCAACGTTGACTTATCTTGCACCTCAAATCTAGACTTAAAAGAATTTCTATCTTCGGCCCTTGTCCTCTTCATTTCACTACAAACTTGTTTAATCTTTTGCTCCTCAATTTGTTCGGCCTGAACCATGAGAAGAGAGATGTCCATGATAGAAACCAACATAGCCTACCTACATTCATTAACCACAAGATCGGATACCCCCATAACAAATTTGTTCATCTTGTACCTAGAATCCTCCACCATAGTAGGAGCATACTTGGATTGTTGAGTGAACTTGAGACTATACTCATTCACACTCATATCCCTTTGGTGAAGGTTGATGAATTCTTGCATTTTCCACTCCCTTAGTTCCAAGTAAAAAAAACTATCAAGGAAATCCATCTTGAAAGATCCCCAAGTAATCCGACATTCTCAAACCAGCGTCTCATCCTTCCATTGCTCATACCAAACTTGAGACACATCTTTGAGTCGGTAGGCAGCTAGTTCTGCCTTTTCTAGGGAAGCCATACCCATGACATATAGTACCTTGAACAGTTCATCAATGTACCCTTGCGGGACCTCCTCCACATTGGATCCAAAGAAAGTAGGAGGATTCATCTTTGTGAAATCCCTTATCCCTGAAGCGGTTGTGGTAGCAATGGGGTTCACTTGGATCCTAGCATCCCTAGCAACTTGTGTAGACAACACTTGAGTCAGGATATGAATGGCCACCCTTATATTAATATTACACATAGCCCTTACTTGAATAGGAACTTGAGGATTTTGAGGAGCCAGAGGGGAAACCGCCTCATTCACATTCTCCTATTTGACCCTTCGAGCGTTGTTCCTTCTTGTATTCTTGGCCTATAAGCACAAGAAAGATATTAGAAGATAAGGACATGTAGAGTTAAGAATTTAGAGGCATAACTTCAAGAATACAAACAAAGTGCGATTTTTCTAAGCATCACATAGCCTCTCTTTCATAAGTGTAACAGACTTCACAATTATCAACAAGACACTACTTGACGTGGTTTTAGTGAGACATCAATCCTAAGATTATTTAATCTCATGCTTTGATACAAAGTTTTTCACGACCGAGGAGCATTTTTTAGAAGCAACCGACATCTTCGTCCTCGAAGAGGACTTTGACTAGCCCTTAGCATTCATCATTACACATCATAAGTCAAAAATACAGAAAAATATAAAACATTTTACATATTGAGGTATACATATACCTCTCATATATCATATATGGTGTTTATTTAGACTCTTTGCATATAAAGCTTACATGGGCTTCTCATTTAATCAACATAATCAATACATAAGGATTTAGTCTAATATATTCTCACATTAAAAAGTCTAAAATGAATACAACATTCAAGAATAGGAAAGAAATGAATGTATTTAGACCATAGAAACACTACTAAGGTAGAGTAAATGGCACCATATTCAAACGGGAGGACTCACCAACAACTTGGAGGAAACTTCCAAGTCTTCTTGCAAAGTGGCCTAGAAGCTTTTCAATAGTCGGAACCTAGAATGTTTGGGAAAAGGGAAGAAATGTGGGTAGGTACAAAATACATGCATAAAGTATGGTTTCTATGCATAAAATCATCAATACATGAGAAAAGGCACAATTTTAAAAAAAAACATGCATTATGTTCAATAACTCAACATTCACATACATGAAATATTATAGGTCAACCCAACATGATATTAACCCAACAGATAAGCAACTCAACACAATACATGTGCATTGCCAATGATAGAACTTCATAACCCTATCCAAAGTTAAGAATCACATTAAATCACATACTACATGCATACAACATAATCTTATACTTTACCATAACATGCTTGATTCGTAAGTTCATATAAAACATGACGTAAAGAACATGTAACCAACATAATCATACAAGTACCCTACTTGAACCACCCCGTAAAATCCCACATTTTTAATGATTAAGAGAAGTCCCATAACCACTACATGGTGTCACATTCGGATTTACCCCCTAGACGTAACCGGTGTCGTCGTCCTTTTTAAGGACTAAGACTAGCTTTTTATTTTCATGTCATTACATTCATAGGTTGAAAATGCGAAAAATTTAAAACTTTCATTAAACTACTTGGAGGTTTACATAGACCTCTACTTACACATAATACAAAGTCGTATCAAGTATACATAGACCCTTCGTACAGGAAGGTTACATAGACTTCTACTTTTATTGTGCATGTACATATATAAGATATGAAAATAGTCTCAAAGACTGAATCATATCATACCATCTAGACGATTATAACAATAGGGCATAGACCTTATATTAATCTAACAAGACCATATATAGGTCATACAAAAGTATAGTACTCAATAGAAAAGGAAAGAAATGAAAAAGTCTTTGAGCTTATAACAAGTCTGTAAGCTAGATAGTGGCATTGCCCTCGGACATTTAGGACCTACCTAAAATGGATGAAATCAAGAATTCAAGCCTTAAACAATGTGTCCTTCCAAACTCTTCAACGACCGAAATCTAAAATATTTGGGAAAAGGAAAGAAAATGGGGTTAGTACTCCACATGTACCAAGTATGGGACCTCATGCACGTACACAAGAAAAATGTCATAAAATGGGACTTTTAGTCAAAACATGCCATTTTAAACTTTTAAGAACCTAATACAAAGACAAGCAAGTCATATCAACAAACCAAACATGCTTATTAACTCAACAAGTAATACGTATTCCAACATAGTAGAAACCATGATTTTCTATAACCCTATCATCAAGGAAACCATATCATAATAAGCAAGACCACTACTGATGAATCCTTATCAAGTCAACAAGTGCACTGACCAAGCAAAGCCCCATAACCTTACTCAACCAAGTAGACTTAACAAGAAAACATAACCAATGTCCAACTAAACAATATAATCCAAATACCTATATCAAGAGGATAATCATCATCATATATAGTCATTTACGTTGTAGCATCAACATATTATCATCATATACATCATAATCATATCAATACATAATATTAACTTCCTAAAGCTTCCATCAATGTGAACTAGTGCAAGGCATAGGTAGATTCACATACCCCTACTTAGGATAAGCTAAACCTCTCAAGTCACCTTAGTTTATACTTCATTACTTTATTTTACTTTAGGGAACACTTGCCTTAGACAACATCACATGAGCTAAGTGTGGAATATGGTGTTATAAAGCCTTACACCGATGGAAGGTGGTCTACCATCTAAAGTAGAACCAAACACAAACCTAGCTTTCTGGGTGGATCCACTAGCTAGTCTTCCTATGGGGCAACATAGTTCAAGAACTAAGAGATAGTATATTCCATATTGATACCACTTTGTATTTGGGGCCTCCTCTCGTGGGAATCCATTGAATGAGTATTCCTCTTTGGGAAGTCAACATCTCATATAGAACTATAGGGTGAATCTTCCTCTTTGGGAAGTCATCACATCCCATTGTCAAGTTCACTCGATGCTAAGTTAAGTCCCTTTATTGAAATGTATTTAAGCATTTAATTAACAATTATATCTTAGTTTAGGTCATACGGTCTATCCCTTGTACAATTATCATCCTGAATAGCTCAGTAAGAATTGCATGAGTATATTCCTTCCATCACAATTCATATAAGTGAGGTTAACACATTACATATCATTTCATAATAAGGCACATTGGTAAACATCACCATCTTTATGGTATTTACATCCTAATAAATTTCACAACCATAATTAAGACATTTAAGTTCAATCATTATACCATCCTATAAATCCTAATACAAGGCATACTCCAATATAGTATCATGACTTAACCACAATTAATCACAATCGAAAATAAAGATGGAGATGCTAAGAATTACCAAGTCTTTCTCATAGTTCATCATCAAAGTCTTATCATCAATCCATAATTTAACCCAACTAGGGGAATAACCTCATCAAACAATGATAACCAATAAGATAAAAAGTCCAATTGCATCTCTATAACACAACTCAACACTAGATCATAACTTAAGAGAAGACACATAGGCTAATTTCACAATATACTTCATAACCTAAATCAAATCTCAATAAACTAGCATAATAGGACTATAATTAATCTTAATTTTGTTCATAATAAAAACATAGTATAGTAATCTAATCAATAAATAAATAAACTGAATGACCACAATACAATATAGGTCAAGATCACAACCTATGGTTAGGGATTGAGGATCATGTTCTTCAATTTTTAGACCAAACTACCAACAATTACCATAAAAAAGTTAAATTACATGTTAATATATTCAATATAACCTAAATAAATCATCAACAACTCAATTCATAACTTCAATTTTGTAATTGGATGAAACCCATATGACAACTCAACTTTTGGAATCCATTTTGAAGGAACCTTTTGAGGAAAGAGTCTCAAAGGTGAATTAGATCCCATACCTTAATGTTTGACAATAATTTGATGGTGGATTCGTCCCTTTATAACCCCCAACCCCTTATCCTTGCTAGTTTTCAATGGTGAGTTGAAGTAGAGAGAGAAAGAAGAGAGAAGGAAGAGATTTTGTATTTAAGAATTATCTTAGATTAATATGGGTTGGGAGTATTTATATTGGGTCTTAAATCAACTTAATTAGAATCCCTTAAACCCTAATTAAACCACCTAAACCCCTAACTAATTAAATAAGACCAGCTTAAATTAAACAGAAAACTCGACCCTCACATACGAGACCCAGAACGACAGGCCATCTGTGAGTCGGGAGACCCTTCCCCTCTCGTCCTGCACTCCGTCAATAAGTTCAGAAACTGTGCAGCGAGGGGCTTCATCATTATGGATAAGTATGGGAGAGAGGTGGCATCAACACCTTGTTTGTCCACACATGGCCCGTCTCTTGCGCCGTCAGTGCACAATGCCAGGCAGTGTTGCTTCAAATGCTAGGTTCCTCCTCAAGGGCCCTTAGTCGGTCCTTGGGGATTCATACTGGAAGTTTTGACCATGGAACAACCTAAACACATATTGTCTACCCTTTCACCAATTTTATTACATTTCTGACTCCTATAAGTTAGTCAAATAGGCTAAGGTACGCTAGTACCTCTTTGAACCAACTTTCGGACGTCATGGACGTTTTTGAACATTTTTTTCTTCACTTCCTAATTGACCTAAATTAAGTAAAATGAACTTCAAAATAGTACTTAGACCTCATAACACCTATGTAAGGCTTTATGACACATCTTGAAATTTCGAAATGTTACACATGGAATCAAGTGTTCTCCTCCACACCAAAAAGAGAGGGTTAACACTTTCCTAAGGTGTAACCATTCGTACATAGCTATCTAGGTGGATCCACTAAGATATAGTACTATGTGGGAACATATTTAAGGGTCAAGAAGATTGCTTCTAGAAACCTTAAACCTAAATCAATACATAGTCATCCCCTAAATTATCCAAAACACACCTCACTTAATTTGGTCTTTTTGTGAAGTCAAATTGCCTTAAAACAGTGCCCTCACATCTAGGAAATGGTTGCACGTCGCGGGGAACCTCCAAATCTTTTTTTCTGAAATCAGGTTTGAGACACTGAGACTCTTGAAGCCCCCACTTCGCGAGGAAAATTTTTTCCTTCCAAGTGATGGCTGCGCGACGCATGATGACCCTCACATCTTGGCTGTTCACAGGCTGCTTTGGCAGCCTTCTTGCCAATGTTTGGGTCCTCCTCAAGGACACTTTAGTTGGTCCTTGGGGAGTCA